AGGGAAAGAACTGCATTATCCCATTGGTATTTTCGTAAGTAACTTGATGCATGCCTCTCTTGGATGGATGGATGCTATAGGCAGTGATGTTTAATTTGAGAAAACTGGTGAGGGGGAAGGGGAATAATTGTCTTATATTGTTACTGGAATATAGTCCTCTGGGAAGGATTTTTAGAATGGTCTGCTATTTGGGGCAATCCATTACATTTCAACAGCAATAAACCTTTGCTGCTTAGAATTTTTTTGAAAAAAATCATTCATAGTGAGGGTTACGCAGTTTCCAGAAGGAGGTTTGAACTAAACCAAGATCACGAACTCTTCCATTCTTTCTTTAGACCAAAAACTGTAATGGCACAAAGGCAGTTTCCTAAGCCAGAGGCCACATCAGCAATAGAAAGCCCTAGAGAATACTGGAAAACCTGTAGGGATATTTTTACTTTCCATTCTTAGCTTCAGTCCTTTATTTGATAGATGCGATTTGATTTCTAGATCTTCCTCTGTGTGGTAGAGAAACCTCAATTCTGTGGGAAAGAAAATGGGATTTGTGACCCAGAACAATAAAGACACTATCTATGCTACAGCAGAAGCCAAAAAAAAAAAAACCCAAGGCAAACCCATGTTACCCAACTGCTCAGTGTTCCTTTAACAAACATGAACACTCCTTGCCCCACTCTCCCCTCCCAAATCTGTCCTTTAAATTATACCAATGCTTGTTTAGGAGGATTTTCAAACATAAATCCCTATTTGTGTCTTGCTGTCGCAATAACCAGTTACGGAGCCGTTGATGTGTGAACCCCCAACCCTTCCTTTGATCCAGGTAGGCAGACTCCTGTGTCTGTGAACAGAAATGGGGAGCAAAACTCAGCAGAGTGTCCTAACTACAGGCAAAATGCTGTTTCGCTTAGCGCTATTTTGCTCATTTTAAATTGATATGTGATTTCACTTAGCCCTCAGCGAGTTTCGTTATACTGCTCGCGGTCGCCGTCTCGGGTCATTAAAAACAATTGCGGTCACCATCTTGGGTCGTCAGATACTTCCAGTTTCACTTAATGCTTGTTTCACTTAACACTCGTTTTTTCAGGAATCAACGAAGAATGCTAAATGGAGGTTGCCTGTACATGATTTCACTTAGCGCTCAGCGAGTTTCATTATAATCTTCGCAGTCGCCATCTTGGTTCATTAAAAACTATTGCGGTCGCCACCTTGGGTCGCCAAATACCGTCGGTTTCACTTAATGCTCATTTCACTAAACACTTGGTTTTTCAGCAACCAATGAAGAGCGCTAAGCGGGGATTGCCTGTACACGATTTCACTTAGCGCTCAGCGAGTTTCATTATAATCTTCGCAGTCGCCACCTTGGGTCGTCATATACTTCCGGTTTCACTTACCACTCGGTTTTCCAGGAACCTATTCAGAGCACGAAATGTGGGTTGCCGGTACGTGATTTCACTTAGCGCTCAGCAAGTTTCGTGATAATGTTCGTGGTCGCCATCTTGGGTCATTAAAAACAACCGTGGTCGCCATCTTGGGTCGTCAAATACTGTTGTTTCACTTACCGCTGGTTTTTGTCAGCCACCAATGAAGAGCGCTAAGCAGAGGTTGCCGGTACGTGATTTCACTTAGCGCTCAGCGAATTTCGTTATGATGTTCGCGGTTCCCATCTTGGGTCGCCAGATACCATCGGTTCCACTTAACACTCGTTTCACTTAACGTTCGTTTTTCAGGAACCAATTCAGAGCGCGAAGCGGGGGTTGCCTGGGCTACCCAGCGAGGATAGCGACAGGTCCCCGTAGCGCCACGCTACCACGTTGACATGCATTTGGACTCCAGCACGTGCCGCTTCGCAGCACCACTGCACTCCCCAGCTCTTGCTTTGCGTCCCGGGGACCTAAGGCGAGCAGAAGGCACCTCACAAGGTCACTGGAGGGGTTGAGGCCGGCCGTGACATGCCCCCCGGCCTGTGTCTCCGGTGGGGCAGCACCAGGCCCCGCGGGCGGATCTGGATTTTGAACAGGGGAGTGCAGATGACGAGCCGCATCCACCCGTCTCCAGCAGGGTCTGTATGTGTTTCCCCAACTCTTGAATAAAGGGATTAAATGGGGTGGGGGTGAGGGCCAGGCTCTCCAGTGAAGGAGCCATGGAGAGGGGAGGGGAGGGGAGGGAGGAAACCCTCCTTCGGTATTATTATGGGATGGTCAAGGTCAAGCTGGGGCGGGGGAAAGGTTGACTTCTCGCGAGACTCGCCGCGGCGCCGGCGGCAACTCTCGCGAGACTGAGCGGTGACGGGGGCTGGGAGCAAGATGGCGGCGGAGAGCGACCTGGGCAAGAAGTGGGACCGCTGCCTGGCCGACTCGGCCGTCAAGCTGGGTAAGGGCCGAGCGGGGCCCGTCCGCGCCCCCGGCGCTGTGAGGAGCGGGCCACGCTCCTCCATCTCCCCGCCCCCCTCGGGGTCCTGCCCTGCGGCTGGGGCCCGGGGGCACCTTGGGG